GGGGGGGGGGTGGGGGGCCTGCATGTTTGAAGTCTAGACTTCTGCTGAGTCTGTCTGGGTTTCCAGGACGCCCCCCAGCAAAGTCTCCAAAGCGGTGACAAGAGTGTCTGGCCCGAGGTGTCCGGCGAAGGGTGAGCAGTGGGGCCAGGGAGTGGGTGGGAGGCCAGGATGTGACCCCCGTCCCCAGCAGGCCGCACGGGAGGTTCCAGCCACTGAAGCAGGACCTTCGGGGACAATGGGGACTGGACAGGGAATGAGGCGGCCACGGTGGGGCTTCAGGCAGGGCTGAGGGCAGGGAGGGCCTCGGGGCAGACGCCCTCCCGGTGGCCACGCGCCTGTGCCCGCAGGCAGCTCAGGGAGGGGGCCTCCCTGGAAAAGGCAGCCCTGCCTGGGGCGGGAGGGAGGCCGGGTCTACTGTCCTCTGTCCCCGCAGAGCCGTCCCCATGCAGGCTGCGGAGGGCGCCGGAGGCAGGCGTGGGCCGGGCCTGTGCCGAGGCGAGATCGAGTTCAGAGGGTCTAGGAACAAGCGAGGCCGGGTGAGCCCACCCCGCCTGGGGACTGGCACCGCGGTCGCGGGACCCCAGGCCCCCGATTCCTCCCCTGAACACTGGGCATCCGGCACCTACGCAGCTCCCAAGGCGGCTGTCTCGGGCCCTGCCCCAAGCCCCCGTGTGGGCGGAACTTCAGGGCTGGCAGTGCCCTCTCCCTGCACTCACCCCCCCTCAGGCCCAGCACCCCTCCTGTGCCCAGCGCCCCCCCACTTGCCCGGCACCCCCGCCCTGCACCCTGAGGCTACCGTCACCATGCCCTGCAGTTCGTGAAGGTGCCAAGTGGGGTGGCCCCCTCCGTGCTCTTCGACCTCCTGATAGCCGAGTGGCACCTGCCGGCCCCCAACCTTGTGGTGTCGCTGGTGGGCATGGAGCGGCCTTTCACCATGAAGTCCTGGCTGCGGGACGTGCTGCGCAAGGGGCTGGTGAAGGCGGCTCAGAGCACAGGTGAGGCCCCCCAGGTCCAGGGCCCCGGGACCCCCAGAGCCCCGGGGCGTGGAGCACCCACCCCACTGACTCTGGTACCCAGCCCACGACCACCCTCCCTCCCCACAGCCTGCACTCGGAACAGCTCCTGGGGATATGGCAGAGGGACCAAGGGCCCCCCAGGTCCAGAGCCTCCCGGGGAGGGTCCCGGCCACCCTGTGAGAGAGGCCTGTCCCTCCACTCGCAGGGCCCATAGGCCTCCGCAAGATGCCCTGGGGGGGGGGGCAGTGACTGTTTCTACCCCTGCCCGTGGTGCGCCCATCGCCCCCTCTGCCTCCGTCGAGGGAGCACCCCAGCCGGCAGCCGTTGGGTCAGGATCAAATCACCAGGTTTTATCTTAGGCCCCCGGGTCTGCAGAAAACCCAGCCCGGGATGTGGGGTTTCTGAGGCCATCAGCTCAGAAGTGATTGTAGCAAAGAAAAAGGTCCTGTGAGCCAGGCGGGGCTGGGACTTCAAAATTTGGGGAAACCTCCCAAGTTCTGGCCCCGCACAGGAGCTGGACAGGGCCGGGCCCGCTCTCCTGTGCCGTCCTGGACCCACGGGTGGGGCGGCCCCAGCAGAGGCCCTGCGGGTGGGAGGGGCACCAGGGGAGGATCCGGGGGCTGCCGGACACAGGGAGCCCCCCGTATCCGCAGGTGCCTGGATCCTGACCAGTGCGCTCCAAGTGGGCCTCGCCCGGTACGTCGGGCAGTCGGTGCGTGACCACTCGCTGGCCAGCACGTCCACCAAGGCCCGCGTGGTGGCCGTCGGCATCGCCTCGCTGGGCCGCGTGCTGCACCGCCGACTCCTGGACGACGCCCAGGTGAGTGTCCCACTTGGAGCCCCACAGCTGCGGAGCAGGGTGAGCCCGGGGGCCGGGGAAGTGTCACAACCCCAAGTGTCTGTCGCCCACGCTGGGGAGAAGGGAGGCCCACGGCAGAGGCCCCCGGAGAGGTCTCGCAGGCTGACCCCCCCGCCACATGCTGGCTGTTCATTACGGAGCGAACGGTTCCCGAGCCCCTCCAGGAGCCAGGCCCTGGCGGTCGGACCAGACCCTGCCCTCGGGGCTCGGGGCTCGGGTGGGAGAGCCAGGCAGGCCCCTGAGCGATTGACTGAGAGGAGGGAGCGGGAGGAGCCTGGGGGGCTGTGTGCCTGGCACCTGGCCAGCAGGTGGCAGCATCGCCCAGGGAAAGGCGCGGGCAGGGGCACAGACCTGGGCACCCAGGCCAGGCCAGGGCCCAAATGCCAGTCTTGGCCACTACACCCCAAGCCTGTGCGACCCTGGTCAAGGGGCTGCAGCTCCCACCTCAGGGCCAGAGGATGCCCTTCAGCGCCTGGGGAGGGAGCCTCCTGCAGCCCTGGGTTCTTTCTGGGGGACCCCTGGCCGGCAGCCCACCCTCCGGGGGTGGGAACGGGCCTGGGTGGGAGCCTCGCCCCAGCCTCACAGTGTGCACGGGGCCCAGGAGCACAGCCCTGTCCACTACCCCACGGACGAGAGCGGCAGCCAGGGCCCCCTCTTCTCCCTGGACAACAACCACTCCCACTTCATTCTGGTGGAGCCCGGTGCCCCCGGGAAGGGCGACGGGCCGACGGAGCTGTGGCTGAGGCTGGAGAAGCACATCTCGGAGCAGAGGACCGGCTACGGGGGTGAGACCGCCAGGGAGGCCGCGGGGGACGCGGGATGGGGGACGCGGCTGTGGGCAGGGAAGGAACTTCCAGGCAGCGGCCGGCCCGGTGGGGGTGCAGCGGGCGGAGCAGCGGCAGCTCCGTGACCACTGGGCCCCTGCCCCGAGGCTCTGGCTGGGGGCGCCGGGCTTTGGGAAGAGATGGGATTCGCACGTTTCCGAGGCCGATCTCCCGCCACTGGCCGTGAGGGGCTCTGCCACCGGGGGGCAGCGCTGCCCCGGGAACGGGCTCTGCGGGGGTTTGCGAGCTGGTTACAAAGAAACACTGGTGCGCAACTAATGTTTATAAACAAGATACAGAGTTGCTTGTGGTGTTTACAAACAACATAAAATGTTTATCAACTGAGCGCTCTCCAAAGATGAAAACACAACCACGGCGCTGTTTAAACCGTGACCACGTCGGCGCGTTGCGGGCTCTGGGCCCCCAAGGCCGCCTGGGCCACGGCCCTGCTGCCTCCCCGCGGTCAGTCAGGAGGCGCCTCTGGGGTCAGAGGGGACCCTGCCCGGGAGCCGAAGCTCCTCCGGCCCAGCAGACCCGGCAGGTCCAGGTGTCCGTGGGGGACCGTTTTCCGTCAGGAGGTCTCATTTCTGGTCCATATTTGGGGGAGATACGCCCCCAGGCCGCCCCGTTACCTCAGTCAGCGCGGGAACAGAGCTTCCCCGCAGGGGGAATGGCTCCTGCGCCCTGGGGACGTGGCCGGCGCCGGGACCGAACGTCTAACTGCGCTTAAGTTACTTTATGTTTAAGCAGCCGCAAAGCAGGCGCGCTGGACGCCGGGGTGGGGGCATTGGTGTCCCTGTCCCTGTTCCCGGGGACAGGACCTCTGACAGTGTCGGCCTGGAGCCCACGCTTCGCTAGAAAGAGCCGCTTGCCCCGAGTTGGCTCAGAAAACGTGGAGGCTGACGGTCCGAGGCCCAGGTGCTCAGCCCACAGGAGGTCCCGGCTCCCTGCTGCCCGGCCCCTGGGGGACCTCACCGGGGCTCCGTCCACAGGCACTGGCAGCATCGAGATCCCTGTCCTCTGTCTGCTGGTCAACGGCGGCCCCAGCACCTTGGAGGTAGGGGGCGGGGGCCTGGCGGCTGAGGCCTCCTGCCCGGCCCTCTCCGCGGGCACAGGGAGGGCACAGGGAGGGCAGGGCCCAGGGCGGCCCAGGGAGCTGACGCGGGGCTTTGTCCCTCCCGCCACCTCAGAGGATTTCTCGGGCTATGAAGCAGGCCACCCCGTGGCTGATCCTGGCAGGCTCGGGGGGCATCGCGGACGTGCTGGCGGCCCTGGTGACCCAGCCGCACCTCCTGGTGCCCCAGGTGGCGGAGAAGCAGCTTAGAGAGAAGTTCCCCAGTGAGCACTTCTCCTGGGAGGACATTCTGCACTGGACAGAGCTGGTAGGAGCCCCCGAGGCCAGCCCGGAAGGCGACCTCCGCTCCCCCTTCATACCCCACTCGGGGGGGGCCAGCCCTGGGGGAGCTCTGCGCCCCTTCCCACCCCGACGGCCCCAGCCCCTGCTCACGCAAAGCCCCCACTCGCAGAGCGGGCCCGGGGGCAAGCCCCCAGTTAGCAGTGGTGCTGCGCCCGGAGAGCGGGTGTCAGGCACACGGCGGCCTGCCCAGGCCTCCACCCACACCGGGCCTGGGCCTGCCCACCGCCCTGCCCCTGCCCACGGCGCCTCTGTCCTGCTGTCGCAGCTGCGGAACGTGGCGTCCCACCCACACCTGCTCACCGTGCACGACTTCGAGCAGGAAGGCTCCGAGGAGCTGGACACGGCCATCCTCAAGGCGCTGGTGAAAGGTGAGCGCCTGTCGGGGGCCCCAGGTGGGCACCGGCACAGCTGGGTGGTGTCGATGGACACTGGTGGGCTTTTTAAAAAGTATGTTTTTATTGATTTCAGGGAGAGGAAGGGAGGGAGAGGCAGAGACAGAAACGTCAATGACGAGAGAGAGTCGTGGACCGGCTGCCTCCTGCACGCCCCCTACTGGGGATCGAGCCCGCACCCGGGCATGTGCCCTGACCTGGCACAGAGCTGTGACCTCCTGGTTCACGGGTGGACGCTCCACCGCTGAGCCATGCCGGCCGGGGGGCTTGGTGAGCTTTTTATTGAGACAAGCACGTGCCTCGGGGCTGACGCTGGCAGCCAGGTGCAGGCCCAGGCCGGAGGGCAGTGCCTCTCGCCCCACCCATCCGGGTCCTGGGCACCCAGGGCTGGCAGTTCTGCGGGGGCTCCCAGCATTGGCTTCCGGGGGATGCCGTGCTCCTCTGGTGGTATTCAGAGGGCACAGAGCAGGGCAGAGGTCCAGTGGCTGTGCTCCTGGCCGAGCCCCCAGAGGGACCGGGGTCTGCCCTCACCCTGCCCACCAGGCCCACTCTGCCCACAGCCTGCAAGAGCCACAGCCAGGAGGCCCAGGACTACCTGGACGAGCTCAAGCTGGCAGTGGCCTGGGACCGCGTGGACATCGCCAAGAGCGAGATCTTCAACGGGGACGTGGAGTGGAAGGTGCCCCACCTGCCCCAGGGATCGCTTCTGGCCGGCGGAGGGCAGGGACCGTGTTGAGGAATTGGAGGCAGGCGGTGTCCCCAGGGCCACAGTCCATTCTCTCCCCGGGGTCACCAAGGGGGGCCAGGGCGCATCCCGGTCACCGGGTCACTCTCCAGCACCCCGGCAGCTCCTCCCCGTGGGGCGGGCGGAAAGCCCTGGTCTGCGCCTGGGCCTCGCCCCCGGACGGCGCCCTCCGCAGCCTGTAGCCCGAGCTCGGGGCCTGTGCGGGCCCTGCGCCACCAGGCCCGCTCGCTCTCCCGTGGCCCCCAGCCTTGCTTGTCCCCACTGCCCCCAGTCCTGCGACCTGGAGGAGGTGATGATGGACGCGCTGGTGAGCAATAAGCCGGAGTTCGTGCGCCTCTTCGTGGACCACGGCTTGGACGTGGCCGACTTCCTGACCTACGGGCGGCTGCAGCAGCTGTACCGGGCCGTGGCGCCCAAGAGCCTGCTCTTCTCCCTGCTGCAGCGCAAGCTGGAGGAGGGCCGGCCGCCCGCCCGGGGCCCGCCCGCGGGGCCG